GTTTATGATTTTATACACGATAAAATATGTGTATAAAGTCTATATGACATAAAATGTAGTTTTTAACTATCTTGAGGGTAAATTCAGTGTCGTTGGCTATATTCACATACCTCTCCAGAACCTTTCGATCTTCCCAAACTAAAACTTTGTAGGCTTTGAACTCTGAGCTCTCCAGCCCCCTTTCATGCCCCGCCCTTGGCAACCACTCTCACTCTAGATACTTTACATAACTGAAAACACGTAATGTCTCTGTTTATCTTGCTGTAAAGATTCTTTTAAAGCCGGGCTTGGTGGCACACACCTTTCATTCTAGTATTGTAAGACCTGCAGAGCGTGGACCTTCAGGCTCCCACTTAGGAAAGGCGACACCCCAGATCACTCAGGAGAAGCGGTCTTGATGCAAAAATAGCATGAGGAGTTTTTATTCCAAATGCACTGGGGTCCATAGTCATACGCCATGCAGGGGTAGAGGACTGAGGACCTCGAGGGCAGAATTGAGACAGCTTTTACAGGCTTTACATCAAAGCTAACAAGGCCAGTTTCAAAGCTAGCCTGTAATTTTCATTAGGCCTAAAAGCAGGTCATGGGACAGTTCAAAACTTGGAATGGTTAGTAAGGTTTCCTAGGTTACAGAGATTTGGCACACCTGCAAGGTTAGGGGGTGTTTTTCTTTCTCAAGAACCAGCGGGCTCAGTGGCCTTGTCCTTGAGCGGCTGGGAGAATGTTCTCTCCAGTCAGGGAGTTATCTATATCTGTTGGCAGAGGATCTTGTTTTCTCTGTCTTTCCCTTTTTGCTATGAGTCCCGTCTTTTAGTTATTAATTTTCTTTGTGGACAGGATGACCCATAACAGTTCCCAGACTGTTGTTGTGGATAACAGCATTCTTCAGAAACTAGGTGATCATGAATAATAGTAATAATTTCCAGAAACCTGTCATCGTGACCAAGCTATTTCATGTGTTTTTTTTTTTTTTCCTGAGCTTTGCATGCAGCTAGGATGATTTTTAAATACATGTTGATGAACTTTTTCTAAACTTCTAACTTTTAGCAGTCATTAGAGAGTTAGGCTGTATTTTCATCCTTTCAGTATTTGGGAGGCAAAGGCAGGTGAATCTCTCGTGAGTTCAAGGCCAGCAAAGACTACAGAGAAACCCTTGGGGGGGGGTGGAGAGAGAATTAATGTTAACATTTATTTTTGTGTATGAGTGTTTTTTTTTCTCCCACATATGTGTCTCCTGGGAATGACCGTGGAGGTCAGAAGAGGGTATCTGATATCATGGAGTCACACACATTTGTGAGCCACCATGTGGGTGCTGGGACCCAAATGCACATACTCTACAAGAGCAGCCAGTGCTTTGAGAGCTGAGTCATCTCTCTCCAGTGCCTTACTGCAACCCTTTGTGTAGGCATCCCTCTGCCTCCCAAGTGCTGGGATTAAGGGATTGAGCCAACACCACCCAGCCCACTGTGAGTTTTTTATGACTCATCCATACCGTAATACACATCTGGATTCCATCCCTTCTTATGGCTCGATAATTTCCCATATAATGGGACTCTGTTTGCCTCTTCACTCTTCAATTAGCAATAATGGCACACTGAGAAACCTTCATTGGCTGCACACTTGGGTTGTTTGAGCCTTTTGTCTAACACAAATAATGCCGATACTGGTGTGCAACTATCAGTTTGAGCTACTGTTTTCAGTTCTTTTGATTACATTGATTTATCTGCCCCTGTATGTGTGTGTAGATCTCAGGACAGCCTGTGGGAGGTAGTCCTCTCCTTCTACTCTGTGGGTCCCAGGGATTGAATTCACCCCAGTGCTGAAGATTAAAAGCCACCACATCCAAGCCCTCCCTTTTGTGCTTTGAGAACTGAGACCCAAGGTTTGTCCCTGGTGGGCTTCCTAACCCTTTTGTGAAAACACTTTAATTCTGAGGAGGCTGGAGCTTTTGAAATGTGATGATAATTTCTCCGCCTGATTTACTTTGGTGAGTAGAAAGCTGTTTCACAACCTGTGTTTGAACTTCTTCCCTGAGGGATGTTGTCCATTTTTATTTGATGTTTGCTACTTATTAAAACAAACAGTACAGCTGGGCAGCGGTGGTGCATGCCTTTAATCCCATCATTCAGGAGTTGGTGGATCTCTTCTGAGTTGGAGGTCAACCTGGTCTACAGAATGGGACTGTTACACAGAGGAAAAAACTAATCTAACAGTAGCTGAGTGTTGGATCCCAGCACTTGGGAGGCAGAGGCAGAGAGATCTTTGTGCTTTCTGGTCAAGAGTGTGAGTGCATAAGTCTCTGTTTTATACTTGGCTTTGCTCACATTGACTTCAAAAACCTCAATCTTTCAAATTTATGGACGTATTTCTTCATAATCCACGTTGGTTGTGTGTGTATGGCATGTGTGCATATGTGTAGGGGAGCCAGTGGGGGCCACGGGGAAGTGTTGGGGATCCCCCTCTACTACCCCCTTCTTTATTCCTTTTGAGGCAAAATCCCACTAAACACTGAGCTCAGATTCTTCTGCCAGGCTGAGAGTAAGCAAGCCTAGCAATCCTGTTCCTCTCTGCTGTGCTGAGATGACAGGTTATATGGGTGCCGGAATCCACACTCACTGAGCCATCTCTCTAGGGCCCATAATACATTTTATTTTTTTCTTTTAGAATAAAAATGTGTGCACAGGCGGGGCAAAGGTCAACTGTGGAGTCAGGTTTCTCCTTCCACCTTTATGTGGGACCCAGGGATTAAAGTCAGGTTGCCAGCCCTGTGCAGCCGGTCTTTACCTGCTGAGCCACCAGGCAGGCTCCAGCCCATGTTTAAATCATAGCAGGGAACTTAATTACTTTGCAGTGGGAAAGGAAAGAGAGTCAATTCTGCCAATCGCGGTGGTGCATGCCTTTAATCGTAGCGGCAGGTGAATCTCTGTGAGTTGGTGGTTAAACCTGGTCTACATAAGTTCCAGGTCAGCCAAAGCTACATAGTAAAACTCTGCCTCAAGTAACAACAAAAGCAAACAAAGTTAAAAAAAAAAAAAAGACGAAGAAGAAAACAAGTAAATTCCACACTACTTCGTGTCTTTTAGCTGGGCATGGTGGCTCACACCTTTTGTCCCCCACTCAGGAGGAGGCAGGCAGATCTCAGAGTTTGAGGCCAGCCCCGTGTACATACTGAGTTCCAGGACAGCTAGGGATACAAAGAAAAACTCTGTCACAAAAAATAGGATGGATTTCTAAAACAGGGCTGTTTACATGCTATTTTACACACAGGACTTTGGGAACTAACCATTTCTTCCGGACACAGTGGCACTAACCTGTAATCCCGGCACTTGTGAGGTAGAGCCAGGAGGATGAGTAATTTGGAGTGTCATGGTCGGCTGCACAAGACCCTGTCTCAAAAACAACAAAAAACACACAACACAGAAAGGCCAACCAAGCAAACACAAAAACCCTAACAGGCACTCATGGCCGCAGGTGTCAGCAGCACATCCGGAACTTTAACTGAGCGGACCAGGAAAGACAAACGGAAGTCAGGGGACGACCGCGGTGGGACCTTAAAGTGGGAGACTTGCAGGATTGTGGGACTTGTAGTTTTCTTCCAATTATGTCTGCTTTCATGGACTACACTTCCCAAGATGCACACACAGCAAGCTAGTCCCACTGCTGGGTGGAAATTGTGGTAGGTACGTGTTCTGATCCGGCTTCAGGTTTCCAGCTGTGCATTTTTGCGAGGGGTTCCATTTGTCCTCTTTGCTCTTGTGGGGACACGGAGGAAAACAGCGTGTTCCAGAAAAACCCGACTGTTTTGCTGTTCACGTGCAGTTGTGGAATGACAGGGAGAAAACTGGGTCCTGAGCTCGTGTGTAAGAAGCCAAGCCTAAAATGTTTGCCTGTCGCTGGATAACTTCTGCATTATATCAAACACTATATCAAAGGCTTGTTTTTACAACTTGAAAACTTGACAGGCGTGTGTGTGTGTGTGTGTGTGTGTGTGTGTGTGTGTGTGTGGACTTTTTCTGTGTTCAAATAGCAGAATTTACAGATATCATGGGGGGGGGGAATGAAGGAATTTTAGGAAGTGTATGGGAAGACACAAATAAAAACCAAAAGCCTGAATGACCAAGTCAACATCCTGAGAACCTGCCATATTGGGCTGGAGTGTAGCTCGGAGATAGAATGACCAAACCAAACCAAAAACCTTACCTACTAGAATTCAAATGTCTCATGGAGAAATAAGGTCGTTCCGGTTTAACAGGGTGTGCCCTGTCTCAAGGAAAGAAAAGATAGTAACTCTGATTTAAACCAAGTGGGGTTATAGAACAAATAGTCCCTTGAGGGGTAATATGAACAAAAATATAGATAAGTAGACGGGTGTGATGCTGCACGCCTTTAATCCCAGCACTCGGGAGGCAGAGGCAGGTGGATCTCTGTGAGTTCAAGGCCAGCCTGGTCTACAGAGCGAGTTCCAGGACAGCCAGAGCAACACAGGGAAACCCAGTCTCGAAAAATCAAAACGAAACAAAACTTAAAAATGTAAGTTTTATGGGTTTGGGTAGTTTAGCTGCTCATATGTTTGTGTGCCAATTTATTTCCCAGTGCTTGCAGAGGTCGGAACAGGGTTTCTGATGACCTGAAACTAGACTTACAGATCATTGTGAGCACCATGTGGGTGCTGGGGATTTAACCCCGTCCTTTGGTAGAGCAGCCAGTACCGTTAACCTCCGAGCCATCTCTCCAACCCTGTAACTGACTTCTTACACTCACTCCACCCCACGTGCTTTCTCGTTCTCTCCTTTGAGCACAGGACAGACTGGCCTCTAACTCTCTTGTTAGCTGAGAATAGCCAATAACCTGCCTGCTTCCATCTCCCGTGGGCCACCCTGGCAAGTTTCATAGCCGAGTGTAATCTTTCCGCAGTGGGCAGACACATTTTTATCCATCCCTCTGTTGGTGGTTAACTTTCTTGGTCAAACCCAGCTTCTCTGATGGATTTCTTTAGGAGAATGAGCGGATTGACTTTCAGGTCGGCAAAGGGCCATTGGATGACAAACCTCAGCCGGCCGCGTTCTCACGGACCTACTGGGTTATTTGTGCCGCCCAGCCCTCCTTTGGACCCTGAGAAAATCAAAGAGTTACAGCGCTTCGTTACCCTTTCCAAGAAACTTGTGGTGATGACGGGCGCAGGAATCTCCACGGAGTCTGGGATCCCAGACTACAGATCGGAAAAGGTGGGCCTTTACGCCCGCACTGACCGGAGACCCATCCAACACATGGATTTCGTCCGCAGCGCTCCGGTCCGCCAGCGGTACTGGGCCAGAAACTTTGTGGGCTGGCCTCAGTTCTCCACTCACCAACCCAACCCAGCACACTGGGCCTTGAGCAACTGGGAGAAACTTGGGAAGCTGCACTGGTTGGTGACGCAGAATGTCGACGCGCTGCACTCCAAGGCGGGCAACCAGCGGCTGACAGAGCTCCATGGATGCATGCACAGGTGTGCTGGGGTGAATGGGGGGGGGGTGGTTTGGCCATCAGAGGACGTGCGTGCGCTTCCCCAGGCGAAGGACGGGCCTTTGGCTGTCTTGACCGGGGTTGCCTTAGTTCCAGAGCAAAGGCTTCCTGAGCAAGTTGTTGACCTTGGAGTTAGGTCGAGTGACCTGAGAGGGGGAGCAGGGACAAACGGAAGGGAGCAAGCAAGGAAGGGTGCTCTCCGGCTGGCTTGTGCCCTTCCTTGGCGAAGTGCTCTGGGTTCGGTTTCCCAGCAGCAGGAAAAATCGTGTGGGTGGGTGGCTGCACCCTGCATTGACTCCCAGTCTAGGATGCAATTCAGGGTTATTGCAACCTTATGGAGAGAGCCACGGTGATGTGGTGAGCAGTACAGGTTAACCCTGAGCTTGGGTTGAGAGAAAATTATTTCACCAAAAGTGAAGAAAACTAAGGTGTTAAGGATCCATCTCCAGCCCCATGTTGGTCCAGCATCACAGTTGGGGAATTAGCTCTCTGACACGATCACTTCTTCCTTCTTATTTTATTTGTTGGTTTATATGGAGACAGAGCCTGTCTATGTCATAGCCTTGGGTAACCTGTAACTCACTAGACCAGGCTGGCCTCAGACTCACAGAGGTCCGCCTGCCTCTGCCTCCAATGGTGTTGGGATTAAAGGCGTGGGCCACCATCACACCTAGATTCCTGTTTTTGGTTTTTTGTTTGTTTTTTGAGACAGGGCCTCCCGCTTCTCCAGCTGCTCTGAAACTTGCTGGGTGACAGTGGATGACCTTGACACTGTGCATATGTCCTCAGTGGTCTCCAAAACGGTCAGCTGGCAAGTCCCGGGTATCCCCCAGTCGTTGCCTCCCCCAAGCATCCTTCTACACGGGTGCTGGGCTTCTGAACCTAGGTCCTCACGTGCATGGCGGGCATTTTTCCAAGTGAGACATCTTCCTTGACCCAGCCTTGAGTTTCTGATCCTCCTGCCTCCACCTCCTGGCTGCTGGGGTTACGTGCGAACGTGCGTGCGCGTGGGACACCATACCTTCTTGTCTGTGAGCTGATGGAGATCCAGTGCAGAGCTTGTGCATTGAAAGCAAGCACTCTGTCAACCAGCTGTGTCGCCACCCTACAAAAGGTGTCTTCGCAGGGAATGATAGTGACAGTGACTCTAGATAGACAAGTGCACGGGTTTGAGCACTAAGGAAATGCAGAGCGCACGTGGGGCCAGTGTTCTGCAAAATGCAAATGGAGTAAACAGACATCAGTGCGTTCTCAACCTTCCTAAAGGCTGAGACTACATCCTGTGATGTAGTTCCTCCTGCTGTGGTGATCCCCAACCAAACATAGCTTTATGTTTGTTGCTACTTTGTAACTACAGCGTTGCTGTGTTTATGAGTCATAATTTAAACATCTGGTGTGCAGGACATCTGATACGGGACACCTTGTGAAAAAACCCTGGACACCTTGTGAAAAAGTCGAGCAACCCCAAAGGGTTGTGGCCCACAGGTTGAGAACCACTGATCAAAACAAAACAAAAAACCCCATTGCTCTAGAAGGTTGCAAAGGAGAGAAAGAAGACAAAAATGATCGTGGCTGTCCTACTAGGAAGAGGAAATGCCTTTTTTTGTGGGGGGTTAAAAGTGGTTGAGTCTGCTCTGCCAGTTAACCCTCCCAGGAACTATGCTCAGCAGATCTCATATTTGCTTTTAGAGTCCTGTGCCTGCACTGTGGGGAACAGACGCCCCGCAGGGTGCTGCAGGAACGCTTCCAGGTCCTGAACCCCAGCTGGAGCGCCGAGGCGCAGGGCGTGGCCCCTGACGGTGATGTGTTCCTCACCGAGGAGCAGGTCCGGAGCTTTCAGGTCCCTTCCTGTGATCGATGCGGTGGCCCTCTGAAACCAGATGTCGTTTTCTTTGGGGACACGGTGAAACCAGACAAGGTTGACTTTGTCCACAGGCGTGTGAAAGAGGCAGATTCCCTGCTGGTGGTCGGATCATCCCTGCAGGTACCTGACTCTGTCAGGGTCTCGGTTGCCCTTGCCGGTTTTACAGGGTGAGAAGTCCTAGCTGTTCCCTCTTATTTAGGGTTCCTTTTTAGTGTTCGTGTGTGAATACATGTGTGAGCGTGCATGTGTATGCATGAGTGTCCACGTGTGTACGCAGCTGTGTCAATGTTGCATGTCTTCCGTTGCTGTCTACCTTAGGTTTTGTTTTTGTTTTTGTTTTGCGACAGGGTTTCAGCAGTCCTGGGTGTTGGGAACTGAACCCGGGTCCTGGGCAAGAGTAACAAATGCTCTTAACCATTGAGTCAACTCTCCAGCCCCTGGCATCATTTTTGAGACAGTCTCTCACCGAACTTAGGTCATGGAATGGCTAGGCTGGCTGGTCAGTGAGCTCCTAGGAACCCTGTTGTTTCTATCTGTGGGCACTGGGGTTACACATTGATGACCACCAGACCCAGTGTTTGCATGGATGCTGGGAATCTGATCTCACTTGGATAGCAAGAGCTTCACCTAATGAGCCATTTCCCAAGCACATACCCCACCCCTTGTAGATGATTGCGTGTGTGTGTGTGTGTGTGTGTGTGTGTGTGTGTGTAGGTCAGAGGACAACTTGCAGGGGGTTAGTTCTCCCCTTTTGTCGTGGGTTTTTGGATCTAGAGCAAACACTCTGTCTTCCACCCGGGCAGGTGTACTCTGGCTACAGGTTCATCCTCACCGCCCGGGAGAAGAAGCTCCCAATTGCCATCCTGAACATTGGACCCACTAGGTCGGATGACTTGGCTTGCCTGAAGCTGGATTCCCGCTGTGGGGAGCTGCTGCCTTTAATAGACCCACAGTGACTGAGGTCTGATGCTCAGAAAGCTGCCAATGGACTGTCCGTTGAGCCCTGTTGCTAAAGGTAGGCATCGCCTCAGATGGAAGGGTCTAGCCTGGCATAGTGGTTCGTGCTTGTGATCCCAGCCCTCAGGAGGCTGATTTAAAGAGGGTGGCCTGGAGCTCAGGGCCAGTCTCCATACACAGTGGATCCTAGGCTAGCTTAGTAGACCACAGGTATGAGATCAGCTTCCTATTAGACTAAGGAGTTAGGTGGGTGATAAAAGAAACAGTTCTAGAGTTAACATATGACTACTTTTTATTTTTATTTTTTTGCTTCTTTTCCAGACAGGGTTTCTGTGTGGTTTTGGAGGCTGTTCTGGGACTAGCTCTTGTAGACCAGGCTGGTTTCGAACTCACAGAGTGCTGGAACTAAAGGCATGCGCCACCACGGCCCAGTTATGACTTTTTTCCAACTGAAACTAACTTCATTTTAAGCAGTGGTTGGGATTTTTACTGTTCTGTTTTTGTTTTCAGCCTGTTTTTATTTTTTCTATTGTCTTGTTAATGAACTGTTTTTATTTTTTTGTATATGATGCTTTGCCCACAGAGGCCTGAAGAGGGCGTCAGATTCCCCGGCACTGGAGTTACCGGTTGTAATGTACTACACGGTGCTGGGAACCAAACCAGGTCCTCCCTGGGAGCAGCAAATGCACTTGAAGGCTGAGCCACCTGTCCAGCCCTGTGTTGTTGGCTTCCTCTTTTGTGTCTTTTGAGACAGGGTTTCTCTGTGTGGTCCTGGCTGTCCTGGAACTCACTCTGTAGACCAGGCTGGCCTTGAACTCAGTGCCTGTCTCTGCTTCCCGAGTGCTGGGATTAAAGGTGCCTGTTGCACCCTGAGTTTTTAGTGGGTAGGCTGATGATTACAACCATTTCTTTCTACTGGCATTAACTTGTTTGATTTCTTTTCAGGTCCCTAAGGATTCATTCTTCCCTGACCTTCAGAGGAACGGAAACGTACGGGTTTCATCCTATAGAGGGCAGCAAAGCAATATGGACAGGCTAGGGCATTGCTGCACAGGGCTGTTTTCAGACCAGCTGTCTGTGTCCTTGGGTCGATGCTGTTCTACACACACACACACACACACACACACGCACACACACACACACACACACACACGCACACACAGACCACACACTCACTCACACACACCGCCTCCAAGACAGGGTTTGTAACAGTCCCGGCTCTACTGGAACCAGCTTTGTAGGCCAGGCTGGCCTTGAACTCACTACGAAGCACCTGCCTCTGCGTCCCAAGTGCTGGGATTAAAGGCGTGTGCCACCAACGCCCAGTTGAGTAGCTGTTCTTGATGGCATAGCTCCGTCACCATCCTTTTCATAACACCCAGAAGAAAGAAATAGCTGGGAAGTAATAATAAACCAGAATGGTCTGTGGAGAGCCAACGCTGCGATCTCACCAATTCAGAGAATGACTAGAAGGACATCTATAATTTACTTATAACTCCAGATGGTTGTACCTGACTGAGGCACTTTGATATTTTTAACAACACGAGTAATAGCATACATGGATTTTTTTTATTAACCAAACAATAAATTATTTTTAATAGCACACCAAGTGTGTGGCCTGCTCATTTGTATATATAAGAAGGTAGGGGATTTGTGTTACTGTGCTATAAGAATTTCTACTTGATGCTGGCTGTCAGAGGCGATGCCTACCTTGAACCTGGTATGTAAAGAGAAGACAGTTCCTTCCCTGGCGGGTCCCTCAGCTGGTACGTTTAATCACTGCCCTCAGTGGAAAGAATCAGTGTGTCCTGAAATGTGAGGCCCATGGAAGACTCACGCTCTACCCATGCTCACCCTGCCCCTGCTTCCGGAGCAGCCTCAGCTCGCAGGGTAATTAGCGGTCTTAGGCTGTGCAAAGCAGCGGCGCTGCCCAGTCATTCATCCCTAGGATTTCAGGGTTGTAAATCGTTGTTTTGTTTCTGCTTTTCAAGATAGGGTTTCTACAGGCGCTGTTATTTTCTAAAAGACGAGGTTACTCAAGAGCTGCGGTGGCGCTTACTGTTGACAGCTTGTCCAGGGTGATCAAAGCCCTTGGTTCAGTTGATGGCATCGTAAACTAAAACCTGAAGAGCAAGACTCCTGGAGCACCGTCCAAGTTTGCTCTCTGTTGCTGTGAAAAACACCACTACCAAAAGCAACTTGGGGAAGAAAGGGTTCGTTTTGTCTTCACACTCAGGATCCCCCCACCCTCCCAGCAGGTCTCTGGACCGCCATCACCAACCTCTACCAGTCCCCGTGCCTGTGAAGGGGGCTCTAGCTGCACCTGTTGCTCACCAGACCTGTCCTTGGGAGGGGCAAGGACAGGGGTGGGGATAGGGATGGCAGGAGAAAGGCAGAGGACTGGTCAGCTTCACTAAGCGAAGAGACACAGAAATCAACGCAGTCTTAAACCAGGCAACGAGATATTTTATTCCTAAATCCTGTAGACCAGGGAACCAGAGATTAACCTGTCTACACCTGTGAGTCCTGTGATAGAGACGGAACAGAAGACATGGTATTTTATTTGATGCAAAAAGGCTGCGGTGTACTTTAGTGGGACGATTATCCTGTCACGAGGTTTTAGTGGCGAGTCCAAGGCCACCAGGATGTAACCCTGCCTTCAGGTCATTTCCTGCCAGTCCAGTGTGGTTTCCTGTATCCCACATCCTAGAATCAGCACACCAGCACACAGCAGAAGCTCTTTGAGTCCAGTTTTTTTTTTTTTTTTTTGACCAAGCTGTCCCTTTAGTGAGCATTGATACTGTTTCTTTCTCTCTCCTTCCTTCCTGTTTCCTGTTTCCTCCCCTCCTCCCCTTCCCCTGCCTCGTCTCTCCCCTCTCTTTCCCTTTTCCGTCCCCCCCCAACGTCTCCTTACCTTGGCTTGGCTGCTGCTGCTTCTTTTGTGGTGATAGCTTGCTTGTACAAATACAGCCTGTCTGAAGGTCACAGAGAAAGAGCGAGCCACGGCACACCTCACCTCCTTGGCGCCTCAGCAGGCAGGGGAGCCATTTCCTGTTTCTGCCCAGCTACCTCACTTCCTGTCTGCCTGTACAGACCTCCAGACCTCTATGGTTAGCTAGTGGCAAGCTCCATTCTCCGACCCGCTGACAGGCTTTATTTGTACAAGCAAGACATTTCCTCCTCTCTTTTTTTTTCCCTCCTCAGACAGGGTTTCTTTGTGTAGTAGTCTTAGCTGTCCTGGAACTCATATTTATATCACTTTGGCCTTGACTCAAGAGATCTGCCTTCCTCTGCCTCTCTGCCCTGGAGTTCTGGGACACAAGGCCTGACTGGGCTCAGCATCCACTCTTCAACATGCTCCCCTAAAGGCAACGTCTTTCCCATTAACCCTCAGCCCCCACAGCTAGGGAGAGTGATGTTCCCTGAGGATGGAGTTGTGATGTGTAGACGAAGCCCAGCTCTGTCAGTAGATGCTTTATTAGAGGACCCAGTGTGTGGTGAACACAGCCAGGCAGGCAGGGGCGGTGTAGGCAGTAGCTGAGGTGACAAGTCTAACAGTAAATGCCTTTGTACTGCTTGTTGTAGGGGGTCTTGGAGAAGCAGATGGCGGCCTGGCGGTCACAGTTGCAGATGAAGGCCTCGCAGGGTTTGTTTTTGTCTGCAGAGAAACAAGAAAGGAAGTTGACTACTTTGCTCCCTGCAATTTGTAGCCTAGAGAAACCGGCGGCCCTGCCATCTTGGCAGACTCAGGGCTGAGAGACAGAGCACACAAAAGGACATTGCGTCGCCCAAACAGCTGGGACACACTTACAATAAAACATTCGTTGTTGTGGGGCTGGGGAGATGGCACAGTTGGTAAAGCTGTTGCCATATAAGCCTGAGGGCCGGAGCTAGGATGCCCAGAGCCCATGTGAAATGCAAGCTGCGGTTGGGGCTTATGTAGGTCTGTTGGGAAGTGGGGAGCACTGGTCCCCACAACTTGTTGGTCAGTCCTGTTTAGTGAGAGACCCAGGTAGTCAGTGACTGAGGAAGACACAGGATGCCAACTCATCCCTATACATTAAAATATATAAACGGGGGGGGGGGGGGGAATCTAATCCTTAAACCAGGAAAACTGCACACATCAACCACCACTTCTAAAATCATGTGATTTAAGACAATCCTCCTGCCTCCACCCAACTGCTGGGATCGCCTGTGTCACCACCACACTCAGTGTAAGGGCTCTGGAGGAGGAACCCAGGGCTCTGTGCACACTAGACAAGCTCTGCAGAAACTGAGCTGTATCCCCAGCCCTCTGAATCCTCACCTGTAAAATGGGGATGATAAACCTTGCCCTGCATAGGTATTGGGTCCAGTGTTTGACTTATAGCCAATGATACAGTTTTCAGTTGTTTAGTAAACATGGAATCAGTATAACACACAGCTAACAGGAGAGGCTGTGGGCAGGCAAGGTGGATGGCTCAGGGAATAAAGGCGCTTGCTGCCAAGTCTGAAGCGGAGTTCCATCCCCAGGACTCACATGGAGAGAACAGACTCCTGCCCTCTGTCCTCAGAGAAACGCACCTGTGTTGTGGCACACAGGCATGATTCCTCCACAAATATATAAAATCTTTAAATGGGTTTAAAAACAACTTTGGACTGGTGTAGACCTATGTTCCAGAGCCAAATGCCATCAAGTCTAACCTGGGTGACCTTGGGCGAGTGGCCCAGCCTTCCTCATCTCCCTCATCTGAGATCTCACCTACGTTTGGTATGCACCTGATAAAGTTGTTTGAGTTTGGATGGGACCAAGGAAAAGACCACTAAGGTGACGGTGCTTGTTACTTCCATGACCCTACAAACAAGCCTAGGGACAAGCAGAGTCCGGAGGTCCCAGAGGGTAAACGTACCACTGCAGGTGATCTCAGACCCAGAGCAGGAGTATAAGTAGGAGCTGGTGTAGGGGTTTCTTATGAGCAATCCACAGTTTCCCAGATAATCAACCTGAGCGTAGCACTTGTCACGAGCCCTGCAGCACCTGGAGAGAGGGGGACTGATGAGGGAGGGGCATGGACCCACAGGAGACACTTCTCACCTGCCATCTCTCTTAAACACATCAAGATGATTAAAACCCGATGTTCTAGCAGAAATGGTTCTGAGGCTTGAGAATCTCTGATATTTATTTATTTGTGGTGGGGGTGTTTCGAGACAGGGTTTCCCAGCATAGCTTTGGAGCCTGTCCTGGAACTAGCTTTTGTAGACCAGGCTGGTCTCGAACCCGCAGAGATCGTCCTGCCTCTGCCTCCCGAGTGCTGGGATGAAAAGCCTGTGCCACCACTGCCCAGTGAATCTATGATTTTTATTAAGCATATATTTACTGAAATTAACTTCTGTGGAGTCCAGTAGGTGCTGGCCTTTAACCCCAGTTCTGGGGAAGCAGAGGCTGATGGATCTCTGAGTTTGAGGTCAGCCAGGGATGCATAAGTGGACCCTGTTTTAAAAAAGTGATTTTTTAAAAAAACAAAGCTGAAGGGATATAGTGAAATTATATATTTCAATACTTCAGTGACATGTCAAAGCCAAGGCTGACGCTGTGATGGTGGCTGTGACATTTCACCATGCCCTAGACTGTCACTAGATGGCAGCATTGCCCAGCATTTACATGTCACAAGTTTGCTTTCAGGGACCAGTCTTGTATAGGGTTTTCTTGTACAATTTCTTTACATGACAAGACGGGGAAATGCATGCTGGGTGTGCTGATGCCACACTGCAAATCTCAGCACTCGGGAGGCAGAGTCTGGAAGATGTCTGGGTTCAAGGACAGGGTCTGTAGAGAGAGTTCCAAGACAATTAGGGCTGCACAGAGTTTCCATGTCTGGAAATAAGCATAAATAAATAAATAAATAAATAAGACAAAATATATGTTGTTTGGTGAATTTGCCTGTCTCCTATTCATGCTTCATGAGATGCTCTGCCCGTGTACTGCCCCCACCCCAACCCAGATACTCCAGTCTCCCACCAGATGGATCACTCACTGGTCTAAGTCTTCCATCCATGCGCTCCAGCTAAACAAGCCACAGTAACAGCCATAGAAAGTATACTGCTTCATGGGAACAGGCAGAGGAAGGATGCACTCTATTGCATTGCCGGATTGCCACACAGCCGGAGGATTGATGCTCTGTGCCGTAGCACCGGCTGCAAGAAGGCCCAGAACATTCCATCAATCCCATGCGGCTTTACCACCTGCCTGCTGGATCCCTCCTTCACTCCTACCTACTGCTGCATCGGGAGAGCAGTGAGTAGAGGTGCGTGTGTGTGGTATGTTCATTCTCACACACATTCAAAAGCACACACTTCTTTGCACTTATAAATATCATGCTACACACGAGGAGGTCAGAGGTCAGCTTTAGGGGGGTGGTTTTCTCCCTCCACTATGTAGGTCTTCGAGACCAAACTCAAGTCACCAGGCCCTGAGCAGGAAGGTGTCTACCTGTTGGAGACAGCGAGTTGCCCTGTAACCCAGGCTAAGCTCCGATCTGTAGCAACTCTCTGGCCTCAGCCTCCTCAGTGGAAGGATTATAAATGGACAGCACTCTACAGCGCTGGGTTGCCTCTTTGAGATTAAGTTCTACAGACGATGCCTTTTGTCAAGCTTGCCTTCTCATTTCTCAGGACAGACAGACAGCCGCCACACTGAGCTGCCCTGGGGTCCCTGTGTTGAGGAGCTGAGAACACTCCCCAGTCAGCAGCCAGGGATGGACTCATCTCTTAGTTCAATAACCCAACAATACAACTCTCTTCAGTGTGAAAGCCGCCCCTACGCAAGCCTAGGTGGAACCCTACCCTTAGCCAGCAGTGGGATTCATCACAGCTCTAGCTGAAACCTTGAGTCAGAGAAGCAGCCAACACATGCTTATTGATTAACACTGGAGAATTAGAAGGGATCTTGTATGACCACACAAGGCTCATGTACAAGGTTAATGATGAGCTCAACATGTGCGACATCTGTATTTGACATAACAAAGTGCTCATCAGCTGAGGAGTAGGAAAACAAGCCAGGACTCAGTCTGCAATGGGAAACTTGCTCACCATTAAAATGAACGAGAAGCCAGATACAGTGGAGCACACACTGTGTAATCCTAGCACGGGAGGCAGAGGCAAGGGGACCATTGGTTCAGGGTTGTCAAGGGCTGGCGTCTCCGAGCTTTGATCCCTGATATCTGAGTTCATAGCTAGCCTGCTGTATAGAGTGAGTGTTAGGGCAGTCATGTCTACACAGAGAACAAAAAGAACAAGGAAGAACAGGAAGAACAGCAGAAGTAAGTCAGGCATGCGTGTGACCCTAACCCTTGGAAGGTAGAGGTAAGAAGGTTCAAGTCTGGGCGAAAATGTTGAGTTGCAGGAAATCCTCAGTCACATAATAAGTTTATGTAAAAAACGTAATAACAAAGGACTACAGAGATGGCTCTGTAGTCATGAGCATGGGCCGAGCTTGCACAGGACCCAGGCTGGGGTCCAGCACCCACATGGCAGCTCACAGCTGGCTGTGACCGCAGTTCTGAAAGATCAGACCCCTCTTCTGTCCTCTGCAGGTTCTGCTCACACAGTCTGCAGACACACCTGCAGGGAAATGCTCAGACACAGAAATCAAAAGTAATACTTTTAAAAGGCTAAGGAAATTCAGATTGCCGGGTAGCTTAAAGGCAGGCAAATGGGTGCCAGGGCAATATGGCAGAGGCAGAGGGGCTTTCTTTCCTTGGGGAGGTGAATGTACCGGGCTTTTCTAAGGGGCCATCTGAGTTCAGACCTAGAGACTACAGGTGCAGGCTGTTGTGGACATGGGGTGAGCAGGGAACCCCAACCTAGAGGCTATTAGACCCCAGTGGGAACCCCAAACCAGAACTTCAGGAGAGACCAGCGTGGCCTGTGCATTGAAGCCAAGGGAGGATGTGGGGCTCTCAGAGGGGACAAGGGTCCTACCTGTGAGCAGAGCGACCAGCAGAAGGAGTTTCATCTTGAGTGAGGGGAGGACTCAGGTGACTCTCTCTATAGTCCTGTAGCTGTGCTCTGACCGTGTCCAGTCAGCACACGGGGCCTGTGACTGCCGTGTGTGTAGCACAGGAGAAGGTGTCCACCCTCACACACAGTTCCAACTGGCAGAGCCACTGCAGATGGGGGCAGAGCCTGAATCAGTGCTGTCACAAGGTGAAAAGAAAGGGCTGGCTGGACACCCCACAGCAGCTCAAGAGCAGTGGCTGACAGAGCGCTGTGTCCCTCCCCCATGGATGCTTTGAGATCAGAAGAAGATACAGACATCGCTCCTGGTGTTGGGTCTGAGGGATGCTGCAAGTGAAGTGTGGTCCCAGGCAGGAGTCACTGGCCCCAACAATCCTCCCTGTTAACTGTATAAACTAAGCGCTAAGTCTGTGTGAAGACCCTACACAGCCTACAGGCAGATCCAGTTACAAATTCAACCTTTAATCAACTAATTAATTAATGTGTGTGTGTGTCTGAGAGAGAGAGAGAGAGGGAGAGAGAGCTCGCATACTTGTGTACACGTGTGGATGTCAGAGGATGACTCTGTGGTGTCTGCTCTCCCCTTCTACCTTTCAACGGGTCCCAGCACTTGAGCTGAGGGCTACAGGCTGGCACTGTAGGCTGCATCTTACCAGCCCTTAAACTCCATGTAAAACCTGGGATGTATGTAGATGAAGGTGGTGGAGCATGCATTTAATGTCAGCACTCAGAAGGTAGAGACAGGCAAATATGTGCGTTCAAGGCCAGTCTAGGGAGTGAGTTCCAGGACTATCAGCGATACACAAAGAAATGTTGTCTCACATCCCCCTACCCCCACCCCGCCCTAAAAAAAAGATAAAATAAAAAAGAAAGACAGCAAATGCTCAGCAGCTGCGCCCACAGGCCAGTGTGATGCAGGCAATCCTTCAGCCGAGGCTCTCCCTCCCTCCCCAGGGTGTGAAGCTGACAACCAACCATCACAGGGGCTGGAGAGATGGCTCAGCACCTAAGAGCACTCTCTGCTCTTGCTGAGGACCGGAGTTCAAGTCTCAGCACCACGTGGTGGCTGGTGAGGTGGTCTGCTGTCCCAATGCCCCTGGCTTCTGGGTTTGGCCATCTCTCGTGTTCCCCCTAACACAGCACTGCAGCACCTCCTTTCCCCCAATTCCCACCTCTTCCCTGGATAAAGGCCCTGTCGGGGTGAGTGGAGTTGGGTGTCCCCATGCTCCCCATGTCCTTCCACGGGGACTCTGGACAGCTGCGGTCAGGAACTACCGGCCACTGTGCCTGTGCGGGACGCTCTACCTACAGCTGTTGCTCACCAAGCCTGACCTGGGGAGGGGTGAGGCCTGGGCCTTGGGACCTGAGTGGTCATGGGGTGGGGGTGGAAAGGCAGGGGACTAGGCAGCTGTTCACTAAAGAGAAAGAGAGACCAGAACCATGTAGCCTTAAACCACCAAAGAGACATCAAAGTCTTAAGTGCAGGTTATGAGGCAGCCAGAGAATAACCGGGCTTCACCTGTGTGTTCCGGTGACAGGGAAAGCCAGAGGAGACAACGTGTTGTTTTGTTTGTTGCGAAACATTGGGCTGCTGTGTACTTCAGCGGGACAATTGTCCTGTGTTTCAGGCAGGGAAGACTCAAAGGCCACCAGGATGTAACCCTGCCTGTGATCACTCACTGTCACTCCAGCGTGGCTTTTCCTAGAGTGAGCACACAGAAGGGTTTGAGTCCAGTATTTCTAGGGCCAAGACGATGCTTCGGTGCCCGTGTGACCTTCCCTCCGTCTTCTCTCCCCTCCCGCCCTCCGCTTTTCTTCCTTCCCCCCTCCCCTTCCCCTTTCTGTCTCTACCCCTGAGTAGCTCGGTCTGGCTACTGCTTCTTCAGGTTTTTGGTTTGTTTTATTGTTTCTTTCTTTCTTTCTTTTTGAGTTTTGAAATAAGCTATATTTGATTTGTAGTAGTCTAAAGAAACTGTCAAAGACCATTCAACAGTGTGACAACTATTTTCAATTCAGTGCTATCCAGTAAAGAAGACATGAACTACCACATAAGTAAGAACACATGTGAAAATCCAAACAAATGCATGGCTAAAATATTTGGTTCCCTATAATGAGATTGATGACTATCTTATATGCCACCCTAGAGCCTTTACCCAGTAGCTGATGGAAGCAGAAGCCGAGATCCACAGCTAAGTACTGAGCTGAACTCCTGGAATCCAGTTACAGATAGGGAGGAGTGATGGGCAAAGGGGTCAAGATCGTGCTGGGGAAACCCACAGAGACAGCTCACCTGAGCGAGTAGGAGCTCACAGACCCCAGACTGACAGCTGGGGAACCAGCATAAGACTGAACCAGGCCTCCTGAATGTGGGTGTTAGTCGGGACGCCTGGGCAGTCTATGGGGCCTCTGACAGGGGAACCAGTATTTATCCCTAGTGCACAAATGGACTTTGGGAGCCCCTTACCCATGGAGGGAGGGCACTCTCTCGGCCTAGATACACAGGGGAGGGCCTAGGGCCTGCCCCAGATGATGTGACAGACTTTGATGATTCCCTATGGGAGGGCTCACCCTCCCTGGGGAGTGGGTGGGGGATGGGATGGGGGTGCATAGGAGAATGGGGGGCAGAGGGAACTGGGATTGGTATATAAAATAAGATCGTTTTTATTTAAATAAAAATTTATTTAAAAAAAAGTTAGGCTGCTGTGCACTTACTTTATCAGGACAATTATCCTGCATTGTGTGTTTAGGAACTGTGACAACTTAAAGGCCACCAGGATATAACCCTGCCTTCAGGTCATTTACTGTCACTCCAGTGTGTTCTCTGTAGCCACTTCCTATGAGGAACTCACAGCAGAAGCTCTTTGTGTCCAGTACCTTGTTCTTTTCAAGACAAGGTTTCTCTGTAGCTTTGGACCCTACCCTGGCACTGGCTCTGTAGAGCAGGCCGGCCTCAGACGCTCAGATCTGCCTAACTCTGTGTCCAGAGTGCTGGGATTAAAAGCATGGGCCACTGCTCATCACCAGTCCAGTATTCTTAGGGACAAGATGTTGCCTCTGTGCCCAAATGACACTACAACTTTCTCTCTTCTCTGTCTCTCTGTCTTTTATATCCTTCCCTCCCCCTCCTCCTTCCCGTTCTGTGCCCCCTACCCTCTGTCTATCCCAGACTGGCTTCCTCTTCTATTTTATATCTTACAAGCTTTCTTTGTTTAATAGTCCTGGCTGTCCTGGAACTTGTTTTTTAGATCATATTTGCCTTGAACTCAAGAGATCTGCCTTCCTCTGGCTCTGCCTCTTCCTCTTCCTCTGCATCCAGAGTACTGGGGTGAAAGGCATGGCCAGGCCCATAATCCATACCTCAAAGTGCTTGCTTCCTGGAAACACCTTTCCCATTAATCCTCAGCTTCCAGGGCTAGACAGAGTGATGCCTGGTGGACAGAGAATAGACTCACCAAAGCTGCGCCTTTTCTCCAGGTTCTTTACCACAGGGCACAGTGTGTAGTGAACACAACCAGGGAGGTGTGGGTGATGTAGGCAGTAACCGAGGTGGCAAGTCTAACAGTGAGTGACTCTGTTGTTCTCTGTTAGACTTGTCACCTCAGTTACTGACTACACAGAGCCTTGGAGAAGCAGATGGCGGCCTAGCGGTCGGTCACAGTAGCTGATGATCGCAGGTGTTTTTTTTTTTCTTCAAGAAACAAGAAAGGAAGTTGAGTTGAGTGGAGTCCACGACTGCTCCACGTGATTTGTAACCAAAGGCACCGGTGACCTCGCATCTGTGCAGACTCCAGGCTGGGAGACAAAGCGCACTAAAGGGCATGGGGTTGCCCACATTGCTGGAACACACTTATAATAATGACAATAAAATCATTTGTTGTGGGGCTGGGGAGATGGAAAATTGGTGAACCATTTGCCACACAAGCATGAGGGCCTGAGCTAGGATGCTCAGAGACCATGTAAAAAGCCAGGTGCAGCTGGGCATCTGTAACTCTACTGGGAAGTGTGGAGTATGGAGTCCCACATTTATTGGTTGGTCAGGTTAGCTAAAGTTGAGTGTCCTGTTTAGGAGAGACCCAGCCTCTAAAGACATGGTAGACGGTGACTGAGAAAGACACAGGATGACAACTCATTACGCTACATAAAAAGAAATGAACCTGTGTGTTTAATCCTAAAACCAGGAAAACTACAAATATCAAATAACACATATAAAATTCTGTGACTTAAAACAATCCTCCTGCCTCCACCTCCCAACTGCTGGGATCGCCTGTGTCACCACCACACTCAGTGTAAGGGCTCTGGAGGAGGAACCCAGGGCTCTGTGCACACTAGACAAGCTCTCTAGCAACTGAGCTGTATCCCCAGCCCTCTGAATCCTCACCTGTAAAATGGGGATGATAAACCTTGCCCTGCATAGGTATTGGGTCCAGTGTTTGACTTATAGATAATGATACAGTTTTCAGTTGTTTAGTAAACATGGAGTCAGTATAACACCCAGCTAACAGGAGAGACTGTGGGCAGGCAAGGTGGATGGCTCAGGGAATAAAGGCGCTTGCTGCCAAGTCTGAAGCGGAGTTGCATCCCCAGGACTCACGTGGAGAGAACAGACTCCTGCATGTTGTCTTCAGTGTGTTGTCACATAGGCTTAACCCCCTCACAATTATAAAAATTCTTTAACTGTTTTGGAAAGGGCATTGGTATGATGTAGACCTTTGTTCCAGAACCATATGACATCACTTCTAAGCTGGGTCACCTGGGGCACCTAGACCAGCCTTCCTCATCTTCTGTATCAGGGAGCTCATCTATGTCTTAGCATCCACCTAATAAGACTGTTGTGATGTCAAATGACATCAGGGAAATGACCACTAAATGGTGACTGTCCTTGTTACTTCCCTGCCCCTTCCAAAACTACAGAGGACCAGGTAGAATCCAGAGTCCCTGGAGGGTAACCCAGCCATTGCTGGTGACCTCACTCCCAGAGCAGGAGTATGAGCAGGCGCT